AAACATTTTTTCTTATCTTAAACTTGCCAGGAGTTCCATATAGAGAAGTTATTCACACTTCACTAGCAGTGTTATGCTTTTTTTTGTGCTAGGGATTGAACCTAGGGCCTCCTGCCTGCTAGGCAAGTGCTCCATCACAGCTCCATATCCCCGGCTTACCATGCCAGCTTTTGAAAGAAAATGGACCTGATGCTTTATCAAAATTTGAACAATCTCAGAAACAAGATGTGAGTGAAAACTCTGGGTGAAATATTTGACTTGTGTGTACAAAGTTATCAAATTAACATAATTGTTAAAATTAGTTACTGAGGCTAAAAGTTGGAAATTTGTTAGCTTTTCTTGTTATTCTAAACAGAGCTGTAGGGCAAAGTATATTCCAGATGATTTTTGTGCTGACAATTTTATTAAGATCTGTTTTAATGTGTGTGTGTGTGTGTGTGTGTGTGTGTGAGAGAGAGAGAGAGAGAGAGAGAGAGAGAGAGAGAGAATGAATAAGTAGGCATGTGCTCTGAAACCAGGAAGGGGACTGTGAGAAGGGGAAAAGCCGTGTTGAGGAGCGGGGGTGGTGAACACATACATGGCTACTGGGAGTGGAAGGGCACAAGGAAGGGCAGGGGAACTGGGGAGAACAGGGAGGAAGACAAATCAGCAAAACAAATTGATGAAGCACAGTACTTTGTATAGATTTTAAAAATAATTTAAAAATATGGAAAAGATCTGATTTCAGAATTCATTTCTGCAGTCATCTGCATTTAGACATGTCATCCACAAGGTGGAAGCAAAGGGTTTTATTTGAACCAGGCACATTCTGAGACTATACAGCGCCACACACAACAGGTGTAATGCCATGATTATTCTTCTGAGGTTGAAGACTGTAGACCCAGATACTTAATTTATGCAATAAATCTTTCTTATGGGATAGAGGCAGTATAAAACCCCAAACTCCTGCTGGAGTGGGGTCTAAGATGGCTAAGTAGATATTTGCTAGAAAGTTTAACTTATAAAATAAGAATATTTCAAATATCAGAAGAAATAGACAAGGATGAAGTAGCCTTTGGAAAGGGAAATCTTTCGATTTGTTTATCCATGACTAGTAGTTCTTTACTGGAAGCCGAAAACTTTGTTCTGTAATTAAGAGTCAACATGAAAATGCAGTAGCAGCTGTAGATGATGCTGCATTGGATGGTTGCCCTTGCTCAGTATGAACATCTGCTTAACCAACAGCTGAGAGCAGTTGGTTGATCTCGTGCTCTTTCTTTTTTCCAATTTGGCTGAGGGCAGCAAGCTTCTTATGTGGCCTTTCAGACATGGTGACACAGCAGGATTTACTCAAGAAGTTGGCTCTTAACCCAATTTCTGAAGGGTGCTTGGGCAATAATAGTTTTTTTTTTCTATAATTCTCCATATGCTTCTAATCTGAGGCATCAGAGCCTACAGACAGCTTTGCAAGGGGACCTCAAAGACTTAAAAGACAATTTTTAAGCTCTTTTGTTTGCTTTTAGCTATTTCTTTATCAACAGAAATTGGACAAATTATCAACATTACTCAAATTCTTGGGTTACCTGAGTTTATTGCTATCAAATTAAATGACACAAAAAGCTTCTCCATAATTTCAAGGTGAGATTATCATAAGCTAATCCTTCTGAAGACCATTTAATTAAGGTGATGATTCTCAGGTCTCAGGACAGAGCCACCTGTGTGATGGTATAGGCATCCAGAAAACATGGGACGTTAGTACTGTACTATGGAAGACATTAAGCTTTACAAATGACAATAACAGAAAGCTTGTGTGAGGTTAAATTTTAAACATCAACTAGGGTAGGCTTTGGTGAGAATTTGTTCAGTGAAGCATGAACATAGATATTATAAGGAATTTACAGTGTGATTAACACCTACCATCAGCCAACTTTAAGGAAAGGGGAGAATCATTCAATCCATTGCAGACCATATGAAAAGAAATACGTTTCTAAGAAAGAATTCTACCTTGGGTATAACATGGAAGCCTTGCTGGAGTGTCTAGACCCTCAGCCTGTACTGTGGATTGCAGATTTGCCAGCTCCACAATCAGGTAAGCCAATAACCTAAAACTAATCTATTTCCTGTTGTTCCTTTGAGGATCCTGACACAACTTGCAAATGTCATTCTTAGAAACACAGTTGAATTTCTTTTCTGTATGGTGAGGGCCTGGAAAAAGGTGATGCCTAAAGGTATAAAATAATTGAATACTTATGTAAAATTACTTAGTGGATTCACCTGTGGCTGACAGCAGTTGAAAATTGAAAAGCATTTCTTCAATGTTAGGCAGCACTTAGGGAGTGAGCATATTTGACAGTACCATATCAAGGGACTGGTGTTTCATAGGAAGTGGAAAAACAGTGTATAAATACCTACACAATGTTTAAACTTAAGGGAATGGAGAGATGGCTTAGTGGTTAAGAGCACTGTCTACTCTTGCAGAGGCGCTGGGTTCAGTGCCTAGTACCTACATGGAAGCTAACAGCCATCTGTAGCTCCAAGCCCAGGGAATCCAACCCTTCTTCTGGCCTGCACAGCCATTGCATGCATGGCATGTGATGCACTTACATACATACAGGGAAAACATTCATAATATAATACTAAAAATAAGGAAAAAAAGAATTTAAACTTAACCTCTTATGCTAAAGTGACGGAACATTTGGATCAGTGAAAATTTATTCAATGAAGTCAGTGAAAATACCACTTCAATCATGTAAAATTTATTCGTTACTTAGTGACAAAAAGACTCAGTTCTACCTAATGAAGTATAAAAATCCTTGACCAAAATGCATCAGTTAGCAGTAGTTCATGAAAGATTTGTGAATGTGATTTCTTATATAAGAATAGGGAAGAATTCTCCAAAATGTGATTCTGGCTAGTACTAACAAAAAGGGGTTAGTAGTTAAATAAATTTGGAAATGGTGACTTCTATGCAGTAAATCATGATGCCAATAAGAGATATAGTCTATTTTCAAATCTAATTTGACTAAAGAATCTATCCTTCCAGTGTGCCCACTACCCATCTGTGGAATGCTGATGGAAGGCAAGTCTCTGTTTTATTCTTTGATGACTCTGACTTTGAGTCTTTGTAGAGTCTGCCTTCTCATATTTCATCAATGATGTCTACTTCTTGGAGTTATCTGAAGCATTATTAAGGTTTTTAAATTTTTTTCTTTTTATTGAGTTTTTGTACTTTTCATACAATATAATTTGATGGTATCTAGATCCCCACCACTATCTGCACCTCCCCTTATTAAAAGTGCCCGATTTAATGCACTGTTTTGTATATATAATAAGGCCTATAGAGTATAATTGTGTCACCCAATGTCCTTCAGTGTGAGTCCATCCACTTGAGCCTGGTTAACCTACCAAGAGTCTCATGCTTGAAAGAGACTGTCTCTGCCCCTCCCAGCAGCCATCTGCTGTCAAAAGTTCCTTAGGTTGGGTTGGAGCTTCTTAAACACTTTCTCATGTCTATGCTGTGATTTTTTTTTTCTGGTTTGAACTTGTATGGGATTTGTACATGTCCTCGCCATTGCTGTGAGTTCATATGTGTAACTGACCAGGTGTCTGGAAGATTCTTTTTCCTTGTGGTCATCCTCCCCCTTATGTCCTTACAATCTGTCTACCTCTTCTTCTGCAATGATCTCTAAGCCTTGGGAGGCAGAAGTTTGAAATAGGTGTGCTATTCAGGGACAAGCACTCTGCAGTCTCTTGTTTTCTGTATGTTGGCCAGTTGTAGATTTCTATGTTAATCACAATCTGTTGCATAAGAAAATGTTTGGTGAGAGTTGAGAGATGCAATGTGTAAGAACATCACCCACAGGGTGTAAGAATAAGTTGCTAAGATTCAGTTTAATACAATAACTATTTAGTAGAAAACCAATATTAGGTTCTCCCCTAGGTTCTGTGATCAGTCTAGCCCCTAGTTTCTAAGCCTGATATGTCAGGTATGGGCTCCATTCTAGGAAGTGGACCTTAAATCCAATTAAAGGGTGGTTGATTACTCCCATAATATTTGTGCCACTATTGCATGGATGGGAATGTCTTTCTAGGTCAGTTGTTACTATAGTTCACAGGATTCACAGCTGGATATGGTTGATGATTATTTTTTTCCTTCCAGTAGTGTGCATAGTGCCTTTCAGCACTATGAACATTAAGTAAGGCTTAAAAAAACCAAAACAAAACTCCTGTTGCAGTTAAAATCATAAAAAGGGAAAGCACTGATTGTGCTTAACTTGTTACTGATTGTATTTTCCATAAAATACACTTCATTTTTACTGTAGGATTGTATCTTCCATTAGATGAATTCAAATTCCCTGGTGCAATTAACTCTACGTGTAGAAGGTTTTCTTCAACTTAAATTAGTTTTAGAGATATATTTATTCTGAACATATGTCTGTCTTCTAAAGTAGAATATAGAATTAGAGTACCTTAATTTTCTTTGAGCAAAGACACATGTAGAAATTCATGTATATTTTAAGTACATGGTAATTTGAGTTAAAGTGAAAATTTGTGATGTTCTAGAACTTATCTTGCTAAATTACTCTTAGGAGTCTTTAGAAGAATGAAAAACCAAATCAAAAATAAAAAAATTCTCAAGTCTCCCCTCTCCATTCATACTGTGAAGATTTCCATTTGCAAGGCAGAGGATCCTACACAATCAATGCCTGCTTCTTGCTGCTGAAAGTGAGAGAGGCGTCCCAGGAGGTGTTTTATTTTGCTTTTAAGAATTTAGCTATCCCAGGCTATGTGTACTAGAGGGAAGGCTAACTTTTCCTTAATGGTACCTACAAAGTCTGAAAAGTACTCAGGGAATGGCGTTTAGTCCCTTGGAAATTGTAGGGTTAATACTTAGTGTTCGAGTCTTTTAAAGAGAAATGGCAGAGCTCCAGAAGAAAGCCTGGCTTCTGTGGTTAAGATTGCCTGGTGCTTTTGTGAATTTCAGGAACAGCTTTGAAGAGCAACATCATTCTCAGTTACACTTATGGTTTGCAATATATTTCAATTTAATTTTTATAATTCATCACACTTATTATATGAAGACACTGTAGTCAGGAAAAATTGGAATTATTTTGGTGATCTTCCTGGAAACTGTGGTTTTGCTTAGATTTGGCTATCAGTGGCTATGTTCCAGGTGGTTCCAGCTCTAGGTCTGTAAGAACAATGGAAATGAATTATTAGAGAAATAGTCAGATGCATATAGGGTCAAATTGTTTTTGTGCTTATCGTAAAAAAGACATGTCTAGAATGAGCCATATGTCCAGTATAGTCCATCTCTTGGGTTCAGAATTTAAAAGTAAAAATTCCTCACTGCCAAAGGCAAAAAGTCATCCCTATTGATATATCAAGGTACACAGTACATGATCCTCTGTTATTTTTTCTCTTGATATTCATGATCTATATGACTGTCTATCTAGAAAGATAACACTATCAGAGTAAAAGAGAATCAATAGTAAAAGAGCTTTTGATGTGGTTTGGATGTTGACTCTCTCTCAAGGGGCTCCTGTGTTAAAGGCTTCATCCTCAAGGTGGTACTATTGGGAGGGGTGGTGCCTTTGGTGGCATCCAGTCGGGCTCTTAGATCACTGAGGGCGTATGTGTCCTTGAGGAGTGTGACTCAAGAGACTTCCTCTTCCTTTCTTTCCTTTTGCTTCCTGGCCTTGAGGTGAGCAGCATGTTCTGTCATGTGTTCTCCAGCCCTGCCATCTGGCACCACTCGCATTGAAGCCTAAAAGCAGTGGGACCACATGAACATTATGGAATATAACACCTCAAACTGTGAGACAAAATTAACCTTTTCCCTTAACAAGTTATTTATCTCAGATATTTTGTCACAGTTTTGGAAATTGGAAAAATATAGTCCCTGGTCATGGAACTGAAAAGAGCTCAGCAGTTTTTATTTCAGTAAGACATTGATGAGTATAAGGGTTTTTTTTTTGTTTATTTGTTTGCTGTTGGTTTTTGTAAATAAAATTATTTTGTGTGTTTTAATATAGCAAAATGCATTTGCCCTTATTTTTTTTCTTTTCTAATAGAATCAGAAACAACTTCATCTGCCTTTATTTTCAGGGGATTTATGCCTGGGGTGAGGATGGGGTGGAAGACACGGATATGTTCCTCTCTCCTTTAACTTCACTTTACGTCTCCCTCACAGAAAGCTGTCTGTGCATTCTAGTATCTAAAATATTTTTCACCCAACTTGATCCTACATGGTAAGGAAATGCCTTGACATGACAATTCAGGGGATGCTAAAGTGTTTTCTAAAGAAGAAAGGAGAAAAAGGCCTGGCTTTGTAAGATTAAGAAAGTAATTCTCTCTCCAATAGAGTGTCAGTTTGGGGGCTTGAAGGCTTGCTCAGGAGGTTAAATGTAAAGATGACAACTTCAGTTGATGATAAAGTGAGACATAGAATGAAACTGTGGATTGTGTAAAACGTGAATCAGAGGTATAACTAAGGCTCAGAACACCTGGAGACAAAAGCTGTCATCTTCTGTTTAAATCTCCAGTTAGAGAGCAGTGAACTTTCACTGAAAAAATAAATACATGACCAGCTAAAGTTGCCATAACAGTGTTCAGTGTCAACAATCACAAATGAAAATTAATATCTTCCCATTTAAAATACAATGAAAAGACTAATCTGTTTGGGAGAAAATACTCAGCATTTAGTCAGGAATCATTAAATGAACACCCGGGAGCAGAGCAGCTCATGATGGGAACCCAGTTATCTTGGAGCAATATTCCTGTTAATTGAATGACTTCAGGGTTGTTCAATAATGCTGCAGAAGTCTCCCTGGGGCCCAAGAACTACTGGAGCCCAAGAAGCAGTCTACTTGAAATTTAGTGGAAAAGCTTAGGTTGCAGTGTCAAGAGTTCAGGTTTCAAGTGCTCCAATCCTGTAACCTTGTGAGTTAGGCAGAATTTCCCTTTTCAGAGGCACATAGCCATCTGGATATAATTAGATGTTATAGTTCTTCATTTCAGGGTATGATTATGACTAAAATATGTGGCTAAAATAAATTGGATTCAAAAGATAAATGCATTTTGTTGAAATTTATGGATGAAATATGTAAGTTATTTTTGGGTTTCTATTCAGATGGTCAAAATGTGTTTCAATGGCCAAACAATTGAGTGGTATGGAAATTAAAGGATTAATTTAAAGTCAGAGAAAATATTGGCTAAGTGAAATGACACAGAAATTCTGTAGGAGATAAACACAATGACTATCATTCAGAATAATCAATAATATTTTAGAATCTTCATTGATGTGTTATTGTGTTAAAATTGAGTTTATCTCAATTTAGTTAGCATTAAAATATTCCTGAAAGTTATTATGTTAAGAAGAAATCTCTTGAAATATGCTAATTTAGTGTTGTTTGTTTTCTTTAAAAATTGTTTTCATTTGCACTTATTTATTTATTCATTTATTTATTTTGTGTGAGTGGACATGGCATGTGTGTGAAGGTCAGAAGCACAGGAGTCTCTGTGCTTGCTATGTTGATTCTTGGGATCAAACTCAGGTCGTCAGGCTTAAGAGCAAGTGCCTTTCCTTGCTGAACTGTCCTGTCTACCCTACTTTGCTTTCTGAGGCTTTCCTGAGGCGCTATCTCCTGAAGATAACACAGCCCAGTGAAAGACAAATCCAGGCAGAAATGATCATATAGCTTCCTAAACCTTGATCCTTAATTAAAACTTAAGCTGCCTTCAAGGGTAGCCTATAACAGCCTGATTGTACTTAGATTTTAAATCTATATAGTTATTATATATGGATTATATGTGATTAAAGAGAAATTGAATTCACTTAAATGGGGGTGAAGATAATTTAGCAGCAACAGTACAGATATAATTTTAACTCTAGAAAACATACCACAAATAACTTGTATTTTGATTTCTATTCTCTATAATTTAAGGAATTGCTCTTATGATATTATATATTCTTTGGAAGACATATACTGGTAAGGAAATATTCTTAGTTTAGATTCAGACTTTTAATAGCAGAAATAGCAGTGCCAACAGTTATTTTAGTATTACTGCTAATGTTTATTTTACTATGTTTCAGTGGCTATTTTATAATGGTATTCAATTGTTAGAGGTAGATACTGAACATTTTCATTTCTAAGGGATTTTGAGGTATAGGGAACATGGATAACTGGCTCAAGTTCACAAGAATAGATAACTGGGATGGGGGTGTTAATCCAGATTGGGTGGTTCTAGAAATGAATTTCCTTGACTATCTCCTTTGCACCATTTTCCAGTGTGTGTGTTTGTGTAGTGTGTATGTGTGTTTTTTGTTTCAGAACATTCAAGTAATTGATAGCTGAAAAGCTTAATAGAGTGAACGATTCAGTTCCATTTGTCCACGGGTTGGGGTGTATTTGTTTCCACATCATTTTGAACGATGTTTTCAGTAAGCAAAATACAAACTGATAATATTGGATAACCTCAGTCAAATAAGATATAAGGTAAAACCTGTTGTGTCTTAGATGTAAAACATCAGCCTGCCACACACAAAAGACTCATGTATAGAAGGCTTTGTTGCTTGCTGGTGTTTGTTGCTGTTGAGAGGCGGTTCAATCATGAGAGCACTAACTTCACCAATGTGTTAAACCACCAATGAGTTCATAGCTGAATGTGACATCAAGAGGTAGGTGGTTGATGGAGGAAGTGGATGACTGAGGATGTGCTTTTGAGGGGCAGGCCTTGTTTTTGGCCCTTTTCTGGTTCTCTCTACTCTATGAATGTAACATGTTCTCTAACATGTCCTGTTGCATAAGAACTACAGGCTATTCTTCCATGACCTGAAACCTCAGAAGTCAGGAGCCAAGTAAACAGTGAACTATTTCTCCACAGTGATGAGGCGGATGACTAACAGAAGCCCAAATCACCATTTATATCAGTTTAGAACCTCAGATGTAATAGTTTTTTAAAATTAATGCAATTGAATTGGAAAAATATTTTGGTTGAAATGTGCAGAGTTGAGATCACTTTCAGTCTAACTTGTGGGGTTATGTCTAAAGTTTTATACTCTGAGTATCTTAAGCATTTTTATTTTGTTATTTTTATATTTTTTATTTTATATTTATGAGTGTTTTGCCTGTATGTATGTTTGTGTACCATATGCATGCCTGTGTTTATGGGGACCCAAATGGATTCCCTGGAACTGGAGTTACAGATGATTATTAGCCACCATGTGGGTGCTGTGAACACAACCTAGGTCTTCTGCAGGAGCAACCAGTGTTCTTAACCACTGAGCCATCTCTCCAGTCCTTTCAAGCATTTTTAAATGATTGAAAGTGTAATCTTACAAAGAAGGCAGGTCAAAGTACTTCAGCAGTGGCATTTTACATGAAGAACACTTCTTCCTGATAAGAACCCTTCTGTGGGGCTGGGAGATGACTCAGAGGTTAAGAGCCCTTTTCCTATTGAAATGCACCAGGTTCCCTTAAATGATTTTTGGGGTATTATTCTAGAGGTGGATAGAAACACTAGGCTGGGGGAATCTGTAAATCTAGAATTAGTCTTAAATATGACAGAATTGTCCATGCACATCTGTAAATTCTTAAACTTTTCTCAAAGCTTGATACTGTCAAATGAAAAAAATGAATGGCTGACAAATAGGATAAACTGTATAAAGTTTCCTTCCTGTGCTATGTTTTGTAAAACACGGTATAAAATTCTGGATTCTTTGGTGATTTATTTGAAATGTACTTACCTAAGCTGGTACATATGCAGCACATCAGGACTGTAGGATATTTTTCATTTCAGCCTCAATCTGATAATGAAAACAGAATTGTCTGCAATTTATGAGGCACTTGTAGCTTCTAGAACATGCTGAAGGTACACAATATTTTTGAGACCTTGCTCAGAGGATATGATTCTTGCAAAATGAAACTTTTCATTGTAAATTTTATTGTCCGTGATCTATATTTGCTTAGCTTTACATGGCTGTCTCTGATAGTTTACACTCTGATAGAATGACAATAGAATTTAATCAGCACTAATTACCAAGTGCACCCAGAACGTTATAAGCTAATAGAGAATCTTGGCTTTTACACATAGAAGACTAAATCTGTACTCAACCCTGAAGCCTGATGAAGGATTTAGGAGTCAGGCTTAGTCATTATGTGCCCTCTATTTGAGTTAAGGGCAAGTTTAATATGTTTGGAAGACAGCAAACAGTTCAGAAGGACGTCAGAAAGAGGCACAAGAAATCATGACAGGAGGTCTGGTTGGAGAGGAAATCTAGGATCAAATTCTCTTGATTAAAAAAATAAATAAAATGCACATGAGAGCACCACTAAATGAATTTGGTGCCACACACACATACACACACATAATGCATGTATGTTTATCTAACAATAATAATAAAAGAACGGGACAAATTGTAAGGGGGGCACATGGGAGGAGTTGGAGGGCAGGGGTGAAAGCAATGCACATACTATACTCGTGCATGAAATTCTCAAAAAATTTCTAGGGCAGTTGGTACAAATTAATTACACAATTACATTTTTGAAATTCAGACTTGGCTGGGCATGGTGGCATACACCTTTAGTCCCAGCACTCCCTGAGGCCTATCCAGGAGATCCACCTCATGAAACTAGGAAGGAGAGCACTGAAGGAGAGAGGGAGGCTCCAAGGAGGGTGGAGGAGTCAGAATTGGCAGGATTTGCAATTTGATTTGAACATACCCGAGAAATTAAGTATCATTAAGTTTTCACTGAAGGCAACAGGTAAATAAATGACACTGATAGTCAATAAATTTGGGAAACACAGAGGTATTAGGTGGCAGATTTTGATCACACTGACTGTAAATTTATTGTGGTATAAGCATTCATGTAATGAGACGAGGTCTCCCCCATAGACAGTTGTATAAAAGGCTGGTGCTGAGGGCTGAGGTATTGGCTGCACAAATATTTGGACATTATTAAAAGCATGCGCATAGACATAGAAGGGATCACTCAGGACAGGACTGTGGCATGGACTTGAAGAAGATCAAAGAGGAAACTCTGAAATGTAAAGAATGGGCAGAGGAGGAAGAAAATATGAAAGAACACAAGAGAAGGAGATCATAAGACAAAGGCAGGAGTGGTAACACAGATGCTGTAGACATTGTTTTAAGGAGCCAGAGAGAACTCAGTCAGTAGAGTGCCAGCCACACAAGCGCAAGGACTTGAGTTTGATCCCAGAACCTGTGGGTGTGGTGGCACACATACAATTCCAGCACTGGGGAGCCAGAGACAGGAGGATACCTGGGGCTTGTTAGCCAGCCAGCCTAGCTTAATCACAAGCCGTTTCCAATGAGAGACCCTGTCTCAAAAAAATAAGGTAGATGGCTTCTAAGGAAGGACAGTTGAGGTTGACTTCTGGCCTCTACATGTAGACACACACATATACACACATGTATGTGTGTCCATACACATGTGCACCCGAGCACATGTATGAGCATATGCACATGTACACACAAAAAAATGTTTCAAGAAGGAAATAGTTGTGGGTGTCAAGTTTCTCACAGAGAATGCTGATAAGGACTAAAAAATAAAGTTTAGCAAGGCTGATGGTGTAACTATGTTGATGTGGTATGGTCCCACCAGAAGCCAGATGCAAAGAGTTGAGTAATGTAGAGAAAGTGTGAGGAATCAGATGAAATACTGTTCTGTCAAGAATACAGTAAGTGAGAAGAGAAAGAAAAGTAGCTATAGAGGTGTTTCAAGTACCATATTGTGTTTTCTGTAAGGAAAAACAACTTTAGTATTAAGTTGGACAGGGTCAGGATAAAGGAAATGGTACAATGAAAGAAAAGACACTAGGGAGTGGAGACTGATTCAAGGAAGGGAAACAGATGGATACTATCAACCTTGTACAATTTTGCTACTAATATTTTAGCAACAATAATTTTGGGTTTTCAGTCAATAGCATGTTTTTGGTATCAAACTTGGCTTTTGTCATGATTAGCTAAATTAGAGCTGAAATCCATAACCAGGACACAGAGAAAAGAAGCAACAGTCCAATGAAGAACAAACTTATTTTTTCTGAAAATGATATAACCTCCGTATCATTCAGTCCATCTATAAGAGGGAAATTACAAAGGCTTTTGATATATACAACTATTTTAGATTGTTCTATAAATTTATACATCTAGAGCTACTGATATTCTGTTTAACATTTCCTAATATCTTTGCTGAGAAACAATGCCCTTAAGTGCATATGCCATTTTAAGTATGACTTGTGGGGAGGGGGTAGGGAGAATAATATATCGCTGAATTTGTCAGTCTAACTTCCACTACAATTTTCAGTGTTTCTGTTTTGAGAATTTAGTGCCCAGTTCCAGCAATAATAGTTTTCTGTCTACATGAGGCCATCATATTTGGCTGAATTATTCTTTGTTGGGACGTCTGAGAGGAAGCACGGTAATAAGTTCTCAGAAAAGTGCCTAGAGATATCTTGCCTTAATTAGGCTGAAGAGAGAAAAAGTATTTCAAGTCTGATTTCTCCCCCTCCTCCTCCCCCTCCCC